AGCCAAAACCTCGCTACCATCCTCCCAGTCAGCTTCCCCCTGCTTCCAGTCCCTCTGCTTGAAGGGCTCCTGGCCTCACCATGGCAGCTCTGTTGCTGGTACGCACAGCCCCACTGCCAGGCTCCATCCCTGCGGGGCAGTCCCCTGGTGGGGTCCAGGTGAGCCACTGGGTACCAAGCCCCGCTTGGGCTTCATCCTCACTTGGAAGCCTTGCTACCTTCTGGTCTCACCAGGCGGCTCTGCCAGGTGATAGCAAGGCTGCCGGGATTTTTACTGTGCTGCTAGGCAACCATATTCCTGGGTTTTTGGCCCTGCCGCCAGGCAGCTCCGCAGTCAGGCTCCCAGCCCCGTGGGGCAGCCACGCTGCCTCCCCATCCAACTGGGTAGCTGCACCGCTTGGTGGTAGCAAGGCTGCTGGGCTCCTGGTTGTGCTTACCTCTGCCTCCTGGTCTTGTGAGGCAGTTTCGCTGCTTGGCTCCAGCCCTGCTGCCTCTTCCATAGTGTTCACACTGGGTGGCAGCCCTGCTGCTGGGCTCCCGGTTTAGCTGCCACAGGGCAACCCCACTACTGGTTTCTAGCCCTGCTGCCAGGCTACCAGCCACCAGCCCTCCACCGGGACTCTCTCGTCTTGAGACGTCCTGTGGTCCTGCCGTACAAGGGAGGTTGCCAGACCAGAGAGTCCCAGTTAAGAGAGGTTCAGCCTGTATCAGGTGAGGCCCTTCGTTGACCAGGCAAAGTCATTTTGCATAGATTACACTTATAGGAAAGTTCAAGAAATTAAATATATGTAATAGAATTTGTTATTAATGTGCTTGCAAAAGGGAAGTAAAAGAACAGTTTTAAATTTGTAGGATTTCAACTTGAAACATTATTCATTTTATTGAATAATTACAATGCATAGTACATTTAATTCAGAAACTCTTTTCATAACTAATGTGAATTATTTTGTAATTTGTAATAGTACAAATTTTCTTTGCATTAAAATGACAGTTGAATAAGCAACTCAATTTTAATTTTGTTAGCAAATATTTTTATGAACTCTAATTATAATAGTCATGACTTTTTTTTCTGATGAAAAATAATTATTTAAACCTTTCACTCAGCATATTCCGATGTAAAAAGTAGTGCATTCAGCTAATTTAAGTGGCAGGATTGTTTATGCAAAATTTGATATCTGTAGGTAATCGCGAAGTATGACTTTTATTTTGCACAAACAAATCCACAAACAACCAAACTCTTCAAAATATATAATAGATTCTCATTTTTAGTAGGATTTTTATTTGATGACTGTCCTTACATTTCTTATACTCCATTAGATGGAAGCTCTTTATTATATAAGCTTTAGCTTTTGCAATTGACTAATTTGCACATACAACTGAACCTGTAGAAATTGTAGGAAGTGCATTTGAAACAGTGTTTTTAAGCCCCAAATCAGCAAAGTATTTAAAAATGCACTTATCTTTACCATAAGCTTTAATCAGTTCTAATTCAGTACAGCATTTAAGCATGTTTAATTCCCATTAACTAATTGGCGATATAATGAGGAATATATCCAGTTAAAAAACAAAGCTATGACAGTAAAACTTAAGTATATTTGTCTTGTATCAAGTCCAAGGTTAAAGAGTTTTTGCTTTAGCAAAATGAATGTTTGTTACATGACCTACTTTGATGCTCATAAAAAAGGTACTGGTTGAATTGTTCTAATCTCACATCTTTGGGACCTGACCAGTGCTGAACCAGAAAATGTGAGGTTGATATTATCTAGCAGCATTACCAGCCCTTACACTGTTTACTAGGCTCTTAGAAGATATTTAGGGGGAAATTAGAGCTAAATACTAGCACAGAACAATGAGAATCAGGTGGCTGTGTAAATAAACTTTATGGGACTGCAGGAAACATGACACACCCATGATTAGTGGCCATCCAGCTAACTAAAATCATGCTAGACCACAGAAGTTGCCAAATGAGAGAGGTTCAACCTGCACTTGCATTCTGTGCTGCTATTGCTTGTGTATACTCTTGCAGGCACAAGTCCCACAATCTATGTCTAATATTCTGAGTCAGAGATATAATCATAGCACAAAACAAGACAAGCAAAACAAACAAAACCATTAATGTCTCTATTAATCAGTGTTCTCTTCTTTTAGAGTGAATTCTTCCAAGAAATGCAGGATTTAAAGGGACTTTGTCTTAGGGGAATTTGAAAGCTACATAAGGGAAAACACATACTTGCCATAGCTATGACAAATCTGAGTCAAGGGGAATCAGTATGTATATACTTTGATTTATACCTGCAGGGCCAGGTAGGCAGGCAAAGCTTCAGAGTCTCAATGTGAGGATGAGACGATGGTGTAGAGAGGAGGGGTTTAGATTTATATGAAACTGGAGAAACTTTTGGGATAGAGGGAGTCTATACAGGAAGGATGGGCTCCACCTAAACCAAAAAGGAACCAGAGTGCTGGCTCTTAACATTAAAAAAGTTGTAGAGCATTCTTTAAACTAAGGGCTGGGAGAAAGCCGACAGGTGCAGATGAATGAAATGAGTCTAACACATTAATAATATGTCACTATTTATCTGTCTGCCATTTCTTGAAGTGCTAATACACAAATGCTAGAAATCTAAATACGGTAAAACTCCAATTGTCCGGCATCCAGTGGTCCGGCACTCCCGATAGTCCGGCACCAACTGGAACCCAGAAGTGCTCCAACCAGCCAGAAAACTGGAGCTGCTATAAGCCCCATGGGTGCTCGCAGCTGGGAAAGGGAAGAGGGGAAGGGGATTATACCCCTGTGACGGGTCTGCCGGGACCTGCACTGTGACCGGCCGGGGGGTGGGGGTGGGTGGGGACCGGCATGGCAAGGGGCTAACCCTCCGCCATTTTGCAGGAAGGCGGGGGGAGCCCCGC